AAACCTAAACCCTAAACCCCTACCTAAACCCTAAACCCCTAAACCCCTAAACCGTAAACCCCTAAACCCTAAACCCCTAAACCCAAACCCGAAAACCCTAAACCCCTAAAACCTAAACCTAAACCCAAAACCCTAAAACCTAAACCTAAACCCTAAACCCAAGACCTAAACCCAAACCCTAAAGTAACCTCCTCAGCTCTGAATCTCCCCCAGCTCTCTCGATCTTTCCCTCTCTCTTCCTGTCTCCCCGTCCCTCTCTACCCATAGGCCCTAAAGTAGTTCCTTATGGGGGGTTCATATATAGAATCCAATAAAGTAACCCCAAAAAGGAACTACTTCAGAGCCTATGGTAGGCACAGACACGCAGATGCAAGCAGGCAAACTGCACAACCGCTGCAGCTTCCTACTTTCCGAGGCTGATATCGTCTAAACTTCATGCTGCTGTATCTGGAGAGGTGGTGATCGACGGGCTTAGTGACCCATAGGCCCTAAAGTAGTTCCTTTTCGGGGTTCATATATAGAATCCTATAGGTAACCCCAAAAAGGAACTACTATGGGGCCCGTGGGTAGTGACAGTGTATGTTGGGTGATTGCCTGCAGCGTAGATCCTTGGCGGCGAAGCCTTGGCAAGCTGGAAAGTGGAAAGCTCATGTGCTTTTGGCTCCCATGCTTGCACCCTGACCCCTAAACCCTAAACCCTAAACCCCTAAACCCTAAACCCTAAATCCCAAAACATCCTTAAAGCCTAAAGCCCTTTCGATGCCAGATCCCTGGGGGCCGAATCCGAGCCTGCACTCCCTGGAGCCTTACCTTAACCCTATAAAGCCTTCCTGTTTAGGGCTCCTTATTATGATTTCTATTTCTTTTCACAAACCCTATAAAGCCTTCCTTTTTTAGGGTTCCTTATTATGTTTTGTAAAATGGTAAGTTCTTTGGGGTCCAGGTTTAGGGTTTAGGGTTTAGGGTTTAGGGTTTAGGGTTTAGGGTTTGTGATCCCGAAAACCTATGAGAATCCCCGGTCTAGCTTGCAGCTGAGGTACAACAAGCCCTGAGCGAGCGCCCGGATGGTCGATCCGGCTCAAGTTCAGGGTTTAGGGTTTAAGTTCAAGGGTTTAGGGATGAGGGTTTGTAAGGTTTAAGTTTAAGGGTTTAGGGATGAGGGTTTATGTTTAAGGGTGTAGGGATGAGGGTTTTAGTTTAAGGTTTTAGGGATGAGGGTTGAAGTTTAAGGATTTAGGGATGGGGGTTTAGGGTTTAGGGCTTAAGTTTAATAAGGTTGAGGGATCAAGGCTTTGGTTCGGCTTCATCTGTGGGATCATACCACTAATAGAGTAGGGGTGGGAATCTCAATTACTAACAGCATCCCTTTGCAGTCCCTACTACGATAGCAACGCAACTTGCCCCCAAATCCGTTCTCGATGCCCCTTTCATGCTAAACCCTTATAGGAACCCTTATAGAACCGTTGAAAAGCAAACCTCGCGAAAGAGCCCAGTTTTGCTTTTTCCGGCCTCTACCAGCGTTTAGGGTTTAGGGTTTGGGGTTTAGGGTTTAGGACCCTAAACCCTAAACCCCCCCTTGGACAGCGAAAGTCTCAAGCTCCAGAGTTCTCGAGAAAGCATTGCCTTCCAACGAGTGGAGGATGTTTGGGGTTTTGCAGTTTTGGGAGTTTGGGGATGTTGGGGTTTTGGGAGGCTAGTCCGTAAGCCTCAAACCCTAAACCCTAAACCCTAGTGGGTTTTGAGCTTCAGGGTGTTTGGACTTGGAGGGGCGGGGGGAGGGGTAGACAGTTTTGCGGTTCAGGGTCTGGGGGTTTTGAGTTTTAGTGTTTAGGGGTCATCCAAGAGGGTGACGTTGTGCTGTATTATATTTGTTTCATCATGACCACCGCCACACAGTCTCCGTTTTCAGGTTCGAAATCAGTCTAAAATAGTCTACGACTCCTCGTGTCTCAGAACCACTTTGTACATGTCATGCGGTTGATGATATAAATCCTGCATTACCCATAGTAAGGAATCTACCATAATTCCCAGAGTTTCGGGTCCTTAATGTAATGCAGGATTTTAATCATCAGCCGTAGCTCGATTTCGAATTTCAATGGCCAGATCCCAGAGCAAGACTCCAACATGCTCATGTAGGGGTTGTTTCCGCAGACGGTCCTTTATACTTTATACTATGCACCTGCAACCATGCAAGTCTTACTTCTTATGTCCTCTTCCACGCACTCAACTCAAACTCTCAGCTAAGCACCATGAGGCTGCACTCCGGTAGCTGTGCGTCTGGTGCGCAATGTGGCGCCAACTCGGCACATGCATCTCGGCTTTCATTTATACTTGCGTAAGCCCTGCACCCTGAACCTTCTATCCAAAGCCTTTACGACCTTAACCTAATAAGCCCCACACTCCAATACCTGAATCCTAAACCTCAGTACCCGAGCTGGCAACCTTGAGCCCTAGTGCTTCAGCCCTGACCTAAACCCTCAACTCCCTGCGAAGGTTTAGTATGCATTGGATGCCTGCATGCTTCTGCGTTTCAGGCAGGGTCTAGAAAGACTGGGAAGTGTTTCTGTTTTAAGTAGTGCTGCGTGATTTAGAGTTTAGTAATAGGAGTTCGGGGTCAACCATTTAATTGGGGGTGGTCCACAACCCCGAACACAGAACCTACTTATTACGTCCTACAGATCTACTTGAGCCTCCAGCCGCAGTGCTCTAAAGGAGCTGTCATCCTTTAAACTTCCAAACCCTAAACCCCAGACCCTAAAGCCAAAGTTCAGAGCCGCGTCTCGTCCGCAGCTGAGGTTTTGTGTCTGCTTCCGGGTGCCGAGACGCGCTCAGGCCGGCGGTGACGAGGTCTGTGCTGCAGTTGCTTTGGACTTCGGGGTTAAACCCTAAACCCCTAAGCCCTAACCCCTCAACCCTAAACCCCAGCGTTACTTTTTGGATGGTATTGGTACAAGGGGGGTCTGTGTAATGTAGGGGCCTAAATACCAGTACTCTTGTGGGGCTTCTTACTATAATTACGTATAGTATCATAGGCCCCAAAGCCCTTTTCTGATTATGAAGGCCCCTATATTACGCTACCCGACTTGCCAGGACATGGCCCAAGTGCCCTCGGAGAAGCGGCCGAAACTGAGCTCGTGAGGACGCGACTGCCGAAGAAACGGGAGCGAGCAACGAGAATTGTCGTAAAGGCGGGCACCATTGAAAAGGATAAAAACTACAGAAGCCTGAACAACTGTGTCATCAATATTATGATTATGCATAGTTCCGGAAGGTAACAATGGGGTACTCGTTGGCCTTTTGAAAATTATTAACCCCAAGGGTCCAAGTACCTAATAATCATAGACTCTCCCAAATAGTAACCTACATAACTACTATCCGAAGCCTAAGTACCTGATTATTGGGTCCTTTGGACCCTTGGGGTTAAGGGCCCTGCATCAGGCCCGGGCAAAGCCAAGAGTAATACTTGCTCCGAGCCTGAGATCCTGGTAAAGTTCTACGGGTTTAGGGCTTAAGGTTTAGAGTTTAGGGCTTGGAGTTTAGGGTTTAGAGGTTTAGAGTTTAGGGTTTAGAGGTTTAGAGTTTAGGGTTTAGAGCTCAGGGTTTAGTGCAGTTTAGGGTCTTTTGGGTTGTTAAAGCACTACTAAGAAACAAGGTGATGACCTGGGATGCCAGGGCCTCAGCCAAGAGGATGTGCCCGGGTGTGTCATAGTATGTTGCGACAGCTTTAGGATTGGGCAGAGGAGTTCGTCCGTCTTTGGTGTTGCTGCCGACATGCTGATTGCTTTCGCCAACCGCAAATACGCTTGGGAACTTCTCTCACGAGCTCGAGCATCGGCATGGGATTCTCGCCGTTATCATGGCAGCCTGCACATGTACTCTTCACATGTCGATGTGTGCATTCAAGGTTAACCTGCCCTAAACCCAAAACCCTAACCTCCCCCAGGTGTTCACCGGCATCTACAAGAACACCCTGCGTGGTCACAAGATGGGCGTCCGATCCCTCAGCTGTGGTGAAGGGGCTGGAGCCTTTAGATATCACGAGGCTTCAGGTTTTTTGGTTCGGTCTACAGCTTCAGGTGCTCAAGGTTAGGATGTCGGATGTTCTTACATGTTTGGATGTTCTTTCATAGTTGCCTCTTGGCGCGAGGCCGTCAAGACTCAGTTCGCAAAACTTTGCTGCTGGGTCTGCGCCAGCAGGAGCAAGATTACGGACAAGAATAGTCTGTCTCAAAAATTTGCAAGTTTTGACTGGGGCATCGTCAACATTGTGAGCTACGTGTGCAAAACACTATCCAAGTGTGAAGGCCCCATGCCAAACCCTTTTCGTAGTCCATATGGAACCCTTCGAACATAATGGCTACAGCATTCTCTAATCATCAAGGTCCCTACAGTATGACAGTCTCGGCCAGGTCCGATGCATGGCTTTCGCTACATCCACGAAAGTTCTCGTCACCGGGGGCTACGACTACAACCTCTTTGCCACTTGCTTCCTTGATGGGCATACTTCTGATCGGGAGCTTTTCTGTGAATGGTGGATCTGTTCAGCCATTACCAAAACTATAGGCAGCACTCTCACGAGTGTTCAGAATGAGTCACTTCGCATCGTTGTTATGCCTCCGAGACTCGATGACTCCTCACTACTGCACCTTGCAGTGTTGCGGGGAGGTTGCTATGATTAGGGTTTAGGGTTTAGGGTTTAGGGTTTAGGGTTTAGGGTATTGTCGTTGCATCCTTTGGCGGCTCATGAGTGGAGCTTCATCAAACGGTTTCGCACACAGGAAGTCGATTGTGTGTTGCTGAACTTAGTCAGCAAACACTCGGCAAAGCCCCCCCTCGCCCCCCCACCCCCCCCCAAAGCACCGACACCATAGGCGACTCAACGTTCCATGGTGGCTGCAGATCCCAAATGAGCTATCGAGAGCAAACCTTCCATCCAAGTGCTAGTCGAAACCGGCTCAAACCCTTTCTCAACTTAACCATAAGCCTGCTCTGAGCCTTAGTGGATTTGGGTTGGGTTTCGGGTTTGCGGTACCATCTTTGCAACCTTCAGCCTCAAGCCGGCAAAGTGGCAAAGGTTTGGAACCCTTATGTGGGCAAGTCGATCCATACGATCCACGAGCTGGGCTCAGCTGTTTGGGTTTTCCGGGTCGATGGGGTCATAGGTTCAATGATTCTACGGCTTGCAAGTTAGATTAAAGATGTTTTGAGTTTGGAGTTCGAGCGCTCAAGGTTTCATATACAGATTTCTTAGTCCTCGGCTCGAGATTTTGACTTTTGTGCTCTTTGGTTGCCATGGTGTTTTTTTCTGGTAATTCGTGGGCCCCCCCTGACGAGAGCCGACTCACTAGTGTAGAAGCCTAAATACGGTTGATGGTATAAATCCTGCATTACCCATAAGAAGGAATATATACCACAATTCCCATAGTTTAGGGTCCCTAAGGTGATGCAGGCTAAAGTTGGCGTCGCCAACGGGATGCGAGTAGCGCCCAAGGCATTTAAAAAAGGTGATGCAGGATTTGTATCATCAACTGTAGTATCAATAGTACTCGTTAGGGTTCTATCATAAAGGAGCCCCAAACCCGGCTCTGATTATTAAGGCCCCCCACTTTCGCTCTTCTTCCGTGACAAGCACAACTACTGTTGATGATATAAACCCTGCATTACCTAATTATCGACCCCAAGCTATGGGAATTATGGTATATTCCTTAGTATGGGTAATGCCAGGATTTATAACATCAGCCGTAGCATGCCGCAACTTTCGCGCTTCTTAGGCTCAGGCTTCCATGGCGAGGAGTTTTGATTTGAGGGTCTATAGGGTTTAGGGTGTAGGGTTAGGGCTAGGGTCTACAGGCGTTTGAGAATGCAAATCTGCAAGTCAAATGTGTTTTATGCACGTACTATAGAATCCTAAATAGTTGCCATTATCCTTTCAGAAAGGTACCCTATTATTATTTAAGTCTACTTTTTTTACCCCAAGACCCTATTCTAATTATTACTGCCCCTACATTACTTGCTCCGGCTGTCCCGTTGTCGTTCTCCACGGGTTCATGGGCATTGCAATTGGGTGCCCTTGACTCCCTCGACGGTGATTCACCTGTGGGGTGGTATACCCTTTTGGCTCCGGGCCCAAAGCCGTTGCCCCAAAGTACATGGCCGTTTTGTGTTTGCAGCCAAACACTGAAACAGCACCTAGCCAGGTCCGAACAAAGTTAATTCGAACTCTTGCTGCCCTAGTCGTTTGCAGGTTTCAAGTCGCTCGGACTGTAGCATGCTGGTGCTGAGGGGGCACGTGCAAGCACGATTTTTCTCACTACCTTTATTTATGTTACGTCGTTCTGCTGCTGCTGGTGCTGCCTTGTCGCAGACGCCAGTGCTGTTGCTGCGAACATTGCTCCCACTAGCGCACGCCATCACGACGAGGGCCGGTGACGACACAAGTTTTAGTGTTGCTAGCGCACTTCACGGCTATCATCAGACAGTAAGCCCGGTAACCCCTGAAGACTAAAATCTCCCTATCTCCAAGCCTAAGCGGCAAATTCTAAGCGTTTCCACCCTGAAGACCAAGCCCCTGAAACACCTAAATTACGCCTTAGAATAGGGTTTTGGGGGTATATTGTACTATAATAAGGAGCCCCCAACATAGTACAGGTAGTTACTAGGTAGTTATTAAGGCCCCTATATTAACCACTACCAATGCAAGAGCCAAAGTTTGAGCTTTCTTTGGGCCCGGCGATTTTTTGAAGAGAGAAACACTAAACTGAAACCCCAAACCCAAACCCTGAACTTAATAATTAGAATACAGTAGGGTCTTGGAGGTTCCTGATTATAAGTAGTATAATGTACCCCCAGACCCTGGTCTAGTTATTGAGGCCCCTATGCTACCTAGACCCTAGACCCCAAGCCCTAAACCCTAAGCCCTAACCCTAACCTAAACCAAAGACCCTATCTAGTGATTGAGGCCCCTATACTACCTATACCCTCAACCCCAAACCCTAAACCCTAAGCCCTAAACCCTAACCTAAACCAAAGACCCTATCGCCTAATTTTCAGGGCCACGGAGCTCCGGTGGTTGGCATCGAAGTCCTTGGGGCGGCCTCAAACCAGGCTGGCTTATGCTCTCTCATTGGGGGGCTATAGGGGGTTTAGGGCGAGAGAGCTTTGGGGTTTAGAGATTTAGGGTTTA